AGGGGGAGGAGGCCGGCGGAAGGCCCCCCTGCCGCAGGCGGTGAAGATGACTCTGGCGGAGCGCAGCCAGCCGTCAGAACGGGAGTCGCTTCAGCTGCTCGTACGTGATGAAAAACTGGAGGGAAGGTCAAGGAACGGGGCCAAACACACCCTGATAGAGGGGATTGTAAGAAATGTGAAACTATAACAAAAAGGCTTAATATTTTCTAGTTTTTAGTAGTCTTTAGTACTGTAACTTGTATTTCTGTGTGCATAGTGATCTAACGATGTAACTGTTACACTAATCCCTGTTTTCTCATTAAGGAATGTAGTGGAAGGACATGAGCACACGCTATCACAGTCGTTAGACAAAATAATGAAGTGAAACAAAAGTGGTCTTGGTTCCCAGCAAATAATTGGGATAACTGTGGGATAAAAGAGACTCCTCAATAATTCTACTCCAGACAGCCCGGCCTTGAGAGGGCAAATGCGCCAAGCTCCAGAGATAAGGAGGCACCCAGAGACCAACAAGACCGGAGCCAAGTGACCTGAAGGACACGATGGACGTGATCCTAGAACTGAGTCTGCGCAGAAACAAATGTCAATCAGTGAACAGCATGATGAAGAGGATGGGCCTTCATCTTGGGAACCCCGAAGACCACTCAAAGATGCTAACAGACATGCGTGAAAAATATTTACATATGCTAATTAGTTCCTAGAAATATAATGAATATTTACATGTGTGATTGTATTTAACCTGAAGCAACAGGGTGTCTGGCGCGCACGTTTGGAGGAGAAATCCCCCGTGTGCCCAGCGCCGCGATAAAGAATCCCTGCTGAGCAGTGTACATTGTACTGTTAGGTTTTTCCTACCGGATCTTCAAATCAACCCGGCCGTGCCTGGCAAGGCGAGTCAGGGAGAGCATCGGCACCGTCCAGCTGAAGAGCGGCGCGGGGAAGCCGCTCTGCCGGGCAGCATCGACCGACCCACACGGGGAAGCCTGAGCTGCGGGACAAGAGGTACCAGGAGAGGGCAGAGACCGACCCGGCAGCAAACCAGCCCCGGCTCGCCGAGACCACTGAGAAAGGGAGGTGGCTCTAACCCCAGGCTGGAAGGTCTGTAAAACAAGCGATGCCCACTATCACAGAGCGCGAGAAGGATCCAGCGCAGCAACGCTGGTGCCGCAGAGCAGGTCAGCACGCGTCTGGGAGCAGCAGAACGCTCCCCAGGCTTCCCTCCCCCAACAGGAGCCGACCCAGGATCCGCAGCACCTCCGGAGCGCGGGCCAGCGGGACAGCCTCCAGCCAAGCACCCGAGAGCCCTCGCTCTCCCGGAGAGCAGCCGTGCTGTCGCGCTGCGGTGCCTGCGCTGGCCGCCCGCAGGGCTGTCGGAAGCAGCAGTCGC